CCAGGGGAAGGATACTGCAAATTCTCTATTCACACCCAATTCCAGGGGAAGGATACTGCAAAATCTCCATTCCCTCCCCACTCCAGGGGAAGGATACTGCAAATTCTCTATTCACACCCAATTCCAGGGGAAGGATACTGCAAAATCTCCATTCCCTCCCCACTCCAGGGGAAGGATACTGCAAATTCTCTATTCACACCCAATTCCAGGGGAAGGATACTGCAAAATCTCCATTCCCTCCCCACTCCAGGGGAAGGATACTGCAAAATCTCCATTCCCACCACACTCTATGGCCAGCCAGAGGTGGCATTTGCTGATTCTACGAACTACTCAAAATTTCCACTGCTGGTTCTCCAAAAACTTCTGGATTTCACCCCTGATTTGAAGTGTGCCATCTTCAAGTTGCCAAGGTTGAGAAAGATTTAGACTCAGGAAAGGAAGAATAAAAAACCTGGTCCAATCTTTTTCCATCAACACCACTTCTTGTTCTACAAGAAAATAGTACAAATTTTCTGGGGGGAAAAAAATAGTACAGCCGCGGACACTATCAGTGGATATCCCAAAAAATATTCATTCCAGCTTTAGGATAAATTAAACACGTATTTGTGGTTTTCTGAAAATATATGTGTTTTCCTTTTGTAGGAGTCATGGTTGCGAGAGGGCTTTTAGCCAATCCAGCTTTATTTGCAGGATATGAAGAGACCCCTCTGCAGTGTGTCCAGGATTGGGTGGACATAGCCCTTGACCAGGGTGTCCCTTTCACCTGCTTTCATCATCATTTAATGTACATGCTCGAGAGGGTGACTTCGAAGCAAGAGAAGAAGATTTTTAACGTTTTATCAAGTACGTCTGCCGTTCTGGACTACCTTAGAGATAATTATGGAATTCGGTAGCCTCCTAGATCTATTTAACCACGAGAAGACCAAGCTTATTATCTTAAGTTGTGGGCGTCTACGGTGGCTTTTCCTACTCAAGGATTTCAGTGTGTGCATTTATACGAAGTTGGCATTTTCTTATGAGCAAATTGTGAAGAAAAGCAGCGAGCATCGATAGGGTTATTCAGCCTTCATCGGCGGCTGATAGGTGCAAACTGTGAACCATAATCTCAAGTTGATGTTGGGGTTCCAAGTAATCGATCCATATCAAGCAAAACTCCAAGGCAGGTGGGTTCCTCAAAAGAATAGCTTTATTGGCAATATCATATTGGCGCATATCTGGAGAAAACAGACTCTGAAAAGTCCCACGGTTTTTCACCTAATTAAAAGTTTTTCCCTCAACCCCAAACAATCGGTCACATGGTCCAATCAAGGCGCTGTCTGGTGGTCTGGTCAAATCACTCCTCCTTCCTTTGACCAGGTGTGCGAATGACCTTGGTTCCCAAGAGAAAGTATTTTGTTTTGACTACACAGCCCCAGATATCTCTAATCCCCTATCCCTCAGCTCCAGTGTGGCAGCACTGAAGCTGCAAGGTGGTTTCGTCCAGACCAGCTTCGAGGTTGACCGTTGGTTTGTTTGGACCAAACGCGGCTATAGATATGGCTATAATATACAAAGATACTGATGACAATCACATATACGGGTGATCCTTGATGTGCAACCACAATTGAGCTCAGTAATTTATGTTGCCCTATGAGTCGGCCCTGGAGGATGTGGAGGACCCTGGACAGGGTTCCGACTCCGAGCAGGGCGCAGAGAAACTGGTTAGCCACCAGTTAGGGAGGAGACAAGGGAGAGTGAGCCGGAAACCAACAGTGAGTTGTTCCGGGAT